GGGGTATGATTCGGGGTATGATTCGGGGGTATGATTCGGGGGTATAATTCGGGGAGGTCCCACCTTCTGCCTTTTGAAGCAACTCAACACAACAAAAAACGACAAACCCATGTATATATATATATATATGTGTATATATACACATATATAACACCCTTGTGCTCGAGCCCGGCGGGTCACGCAGGAAGTAAAGGGGCTCTTGTAATCATCTGAGGTCAGCTCAGAATGAATAACTGCCTGATTGATCAATTTATTAATAGGCGGGTGTTGAATTTGAGAGGGGATCCGGATCACTTGAGGGAGCATCCCCTGTCAACTTGCCAGGTCGACACAAGGCAAACGCACCTCTGTCAAAAAAATGCCCAAAGGTTCAGACGAACGACAAAAAAGTAGACCAACCAAGGTACACCATGAGAAACCGAACAGACTGCCACGATTTATGTTGTTTGAACGAACCTCACGCCCGCAAAGAAATATTTTTTTGATAGCTCATATTTCGCAAGCTTGAGATCTGAAATGAAAAGAGATTGCAGGCACGGGCAGCCCTGGGAATTCAAGGGTGACGGTGGAACGGCAACATATGGCAAAAGATTCCGGGTAAAGCAGATAGTCCTTGGAAAGACTGCAAAAGCGCACGCCTGGTTAACCAAAAAATGAGGGCATCCGGTTTCGGTTGGTTGCCCTGTGAAGAGGCGCATTCTAAGTGCCGTGCTTTCCACTTCCCGTAGCACCTGCTAGAGCCACGTGACAGCCTGCGCGTTCAACGCAGAGCTCATGACATATTGACAAAACGAAGCGTGCGGTCATGTTCCACCGGTATGGGACTCAAACTGAAAACATCGGGACGACTTAACCGTTGCCCGTGGAGAGGCATGTCTGGATGGTCTCCAAGAGTCTCTGGACTCGTTGGGGGCAGGGTCGACGTGTCACCAATAACGACGTGAGGTCGAGAAAGACCTCTTGGATCTTGTGGCTGGTCGCCGGTGGTTGTTCCTTGGATTCCATGCTGGGAACTTCGACATGCAAGGCCTTCCAAGATTGAAAAACAAAGTCTCCATTGAAGCGGGCTGCGAAACCAAAGCCTGACTCCCACGACCTGGTTTGATGTCCAGCAAACAGTTGAATCCAGGGTTCCACTTTTTGACTGCCCCAAATAGACTGAAATCCAGGGGTGCTCCTTGTGAAAACATGAACCACCACCTCTGGGTTTAAGTCTACCCTGCCTGGGCTGGGAGGGAAATCAGAAGGAAACCCATCGAGCAACCCACCACAGCAGGCGCAGAACTCGAACTTGGGCTCAACAGTTGGACCCCGAGCAAAAAGTTCTTCGTGTCAGGAGGACAGGACCCCACACTGCGAATCGGCAACCCGTAACCTGCAAATGAATACAAACCTAAGAAGGTGGGTCCCCCAAAAGGAGACCTCTTGGCATGTCAAAGAAGCAAAGGAAGCTCCAAGTTGCTCCAAGACGGGGATGTCTCCATTTTGGTACAGATCCTTCACTGTTGATCCAGGGTCAACATCAACAGAGGAAAATGCACAATCTGATTTCGATAGCCATCTGCATTTGCCAAGACTTGCTTCACACATAATTCGCCAACCTGAATTGAGGAAAACGGTCAAGCACTGCGCTCGCCATTCGCCATCGCCAGGATCTGTGGAGTTGAAACAAATCGCGTTTAGTTGGTTGGAATCAAGCGAAGCACTGATTTCTTCCAGCGTTTGAACACATCTCGAAATACCCATGCCTGTCTCCAGTGCAACAAGGACTTGCCATTTGTTGCACTTCAAAGGGAACCCCCTCGGAAAAAATAAAAAGAAAAAACAACAATAATGGGGGGGAACAAAACGACTGGACACCTCTGTAACCAAAAGCAGGCATTCAAGGAGTCTGCCGAAGCCATGGTAAAGAATTGAAAGGGCATTTGTTCCGCATCCATTTGTGATTCTGTCCCCTACCCTACCATCCTAAACATGGTTTGTCTCAGGTGCTTTCTGTTAGGTTCTATCTTTGCTTTTGGCGCACGTGAGCTTTGATCGTAGCCACTCGAAATACCTCACGTGTGGAATCCAATCCCGGCCTCGCTTCACCTGGAGGGATAGAACCTGCCAGGTGCAAAGTTGAGTTGAATCAGACCCAGCTCTCTAGGGGTGGACGGCACCCCGTTCTTTCCGGGGATCCTTCTTTCCAGAAACCACCAAAAACCCGGGGAAACACAGCTGCCTATTGAAAAGATCGATGCTTGAAAAGAAAGGGGAATCAACCCATAGAACCTCCACAAGCTACTCCCGACCCAAAAACAAAGCAAGGGCCACATGAGGCCAAAGGCCCCCCCGCCTGGATTGATCTGAGTTGAACGCGGTTTGGGATCTATCAAGCAAGTGTTTGACGAGAACACCGGCGCAAAGCGCAGAAGTTATTTTTTTGGACACCCATAGAGATTCAAATTCGGATTGTTCCAACACCTGAAGCAAACCGCTTGTTTGGTCCTAATATACCACTGGGAAAACTACTACGAGGACATCTTGCATTTACCGCCATCAGTGGGGCTACTGTTCTGCTAGCGTTCACCTCAAAGGTCAGCGTTGGGGCCCGCCTTCCGCGATCCACAGCAGAGTTTGGTCCCAACACTGCGAAAACTACGAGGATTGCAAGATGTTGGCGCTATCAGGGCTCGACATGGAATCTTGCCTCAGCTTCCCGGGGCCTCCGATGTATGACTCACACGGATGCGCTCACCCAAGGCTCCAGAAAGCGACTCCGAAACCCCGGGCAGCTTGGCGTGCTTTGCCAAAATCGAGTTGGTTTCAGGGACCGACATCTGCCAAATCGAAACTGTCCGACCACGCCTTCAGATCAAAGCGGTTGGATTGGTTCCTCAGCGAATGGGCTGTGAAGGCCATGGATTTTAGGAATGTTAGGACTACAGTCGATCCATGAAAGACCTCATAACTGAAAATTCGACATCCCCAAGAGACACCGTAAGCTTTTTCAACCCCATATGTCACAAGAAAGCTCCATTGATCAGCGTGTTTGAGAGCACACCCGCAGCCCAAAAGTTAAGCAAGCACGCCACAGGTCAGCGCGTTCAAGAGCACACCCGCAGCCCCAAATGTTAAGCACACACACACACACCAGCACCCGCAGCCCAACTGTTAAGCGCACACACACACACACACACCAGCGGTCAGCACGATCAAGAGCACACCCGCAGCCCAAATGTCAATCACAAACCTTCGACAGTGGCAAAGGCGTTGGCTATGTCGATGTGATTTCTGCAAGAAGACAGGGAGTGTGCTCTCAAACGCAAACAGCGCTGATGCAACAGTTGTGAGGCTGTGTAGTGAAGTTGTCTCTGCAACAAGATTTGACCTCCTCCATAAGATGGATATCTTCATCGTTGAAGCATGGCACGGAAAAATAAACCATATTGATGCCGAAGGCAGGGCCCAAAACCAGTGCTTCGGAGGAATTATTGTGTGCACTTGGCCTTCTCAACAAAAAAGAGGGTAGCACCATAGTCCAATGGAATATCCTGACTTGGAATTTAAATTTGCGGGCGGATTCCCTCATTCAAATTTGTCTCCAAATAAAGGACCCTGAAAAAATGGATTTCCTGTTTGCTCCTTCAAGCCAAATACAAACACATAGGGTATCCTCAAAAAGAAACACACCTTCCCTGGCGTAGGATTTCATGTCAATCCTTGTGTCAATCTGGGAATTCTACAATCCTCTCAGAACAAAGACAACCCCTCAACCCAAGCCCAACCTTATGTGGTGACCCCAGACATTATCCTCCCTTGGGAAGGTACCATTCTCTTAGCCCACATCTGGTGTACGCAGAAAGTAACATTGTCAGATTCTGGTTCGCATTTAGCCTATCAAAGTCAAAAACTTGCTGGCGCTCAGTAAATAATCAGGGAATGACCCCCATGAACCATCTAACTGGTGGTTTCCTTTAAGGAGACCAAAGCCAGGCACATTCCCTATCGCACCAGCAAGAAGATCGTTTTGGCGACCCACACTCGGCATCCGAGGCATCCGCGTGGTGCGTTTCGCCCGCTCGGCCACCGAGGCGTCGTCCGTGACGGAGTCCACCAGGTCCAGGCCATTGCCGCCCTGCGGAGGGTGGCTCCCAAGTTTGGGGTTTGGTGCAGACGGGGTTCGTCTTTTTGACGAAAACCAAACTTGGCTTAAACTCCAAACTCCGAGGTGTCTACCTTGGGGTTCTACCTTTGGATTCTGAGTGTTTTGACTACCCCAAGCTAGACTTAAACCCAGGGGTTTTGCTTTTAGGGAAATCAACCACCCCTGGGTTAAACTTTTTTGGGGGCTAGTCAAAAAGTAGAACCCTGGGTGCAGATGGCGGTGGCGCAAAAGATGGCAAACTGGCATCTTGGTTGATACAAAAGGACTGAAATCTGTGTAAGAGCTGTTTGATTATGAGCCATACCCAAATTGGCCACAACTCCACACCCCAACTCAACCCCAATTCCACCCCCCCACCCGAAGTGCCCAACCCCACCCCAACCACCCTCTCCACGTTAAGTCTCCAACTTGCTATACGGAAGCCACTGACATCTGTGTAGCGGCTGTTTGACTATGAGCCATACCCAGATGGCATTTGGTGGTATGGCATAACATGTCCCGCAAGACTCGAACCAAGTTCGCGCCGAAGCCCCTGCCATCTTGCCCACTCATTCCAGTCAGAAAACTTGACTTGAACACCTGATGGGCGGCTGGATGCCCTGTGTTGGAACCCGTTTTTTCTTTCATTTCCCCCCGGTATTGCGTGGATCTATAGGCAGACTCCAGCAACCCCCAGGTTGGGGCGAAACGTGGCTTCTTGGGGCGTTTCCTCCTTGACCCTTTGAGCTGCTATCTCAGCTCAGTCAAGATGCCATAGTTGTATCCGGATATACCCGCAGTGACCCATTCTATCTATAGTCAAACGAGGGTTAACAAATGCTCATTTCAAAATCTTAGTGCTTCATGGCTTAGACATGGAGTTGTCACGGGTTTCGTCATTCAGATTTGTCACTTGAAGTTATCAGTTTCGTCATTGTTCAACCTTACACAACATCTGAAACCAAGTCAATGTGGGTCTTCTTTCAGGAATCGAACCCTCCAAATGGTGGTTGTCCTTTTGGCTTCCCTTTAAAGCCACCTAAAAAGGAGTACCCCCAAAAAATTGAGAGTTGAACTCCTTCCCTTGACCTTTCTGCGGCACTTGAAAACCACCAAACCAGGCGGGTGTCCCTTTAAAAAACCACCAAACAAGGGGAATCGGAACCCCCCAAAGTGGTGGTTGTGATGTTGGTTTCCCTGGAAAGCCACCACCCAGGCACCAAACGCCGAGCCATGGGAAATCGAGGGCCTTCTGGGCCTTCTGCACCACCGACAGCATGGCGGCGGCGCCTGGCCATCAGATCAGGCGCAAAAAAGAGCGGGGGCCTGGGTTCGATATATGGCCATGGGTCAAAATCCCGGCTGGCCCCCAGTGAACATCTCAATCCAACCACTAAAATAGGTTCTAAAATGGGTGGTGAATTCACCTACATCCAACACGGTTTTGACAGGTTTTTCGGGGTGGGGTGTTACTGCGGATCAAGATCTTGAGAAAATGGAGCAATTGAGATGGAGGAAACCCTAATCCTGGACTGAAACAAAACACAAATGGTGAACGAAATTGTCCATACACAGAAGATCACAGAAGGATTGAATTATGTTTATCATTTGTTATGGCCCAGGGTAAAACCGTAAGATCGTCCCAAACGTTAACCACGATGCTACCAAGTCTCGGTTGTAACCTGTGACCTGCCTTGGGCAGAACACATAGACCCATCCGCCTTTTTGGGTTGACCCTGTTTGTCCGGGGGTCGGGACTTAGATGCCACTGCCTGGGAGACAACCATCTTGGAACCTGCCGATTCACATAGCCAGGACTGTCAAGGGCTCAACACATCCTTGGGAAGCAACTTGACAAGAGGGACCTTGTTTCCCTTTGTAGTCATTGTAATCGAAAGGAAGGATCTGGCGCCATGAGTCGCCCCATCTCAGGTTTGAGAATTTACGTGCCCTTGTTATCAAATACTGTGGCGAACACCCCCTTTTTGCAGGACCTGAAGAGACCTCAAAGTGTGAAAAGCAGAGTTTGCTTCCTTGCTTGGGCGAGTTTGGCATGCCTTCAAGGGGAGTTCCTGCACTGTTAGCGGGACCATACATCAAATGAGGTCGTTTAAGCCGGACCCCCTCGGAAAGGGGAACTCTGCAAAACAAGACCTCCATAAAAGTGTGATTTGTTTGACCTCAAATCAAGCGTATAATGGGGACTTTGAACGGAAAGTCCGGAAAACCGCCCAAGCTCCCTGGGCCCGTATATTTTCTCTCTGAAACATCGACAGTTGGTGCAAAGTTGGTCCAACAGTTAGATTCGCTCAGGAACCAAACGGAGCACCGCGCTTTGCCTGTGGGCTTTGGCGCAGAGCTCGTCTGCGCCTGGCTTGCCGAAAATTCCATCACGAGGGTGCCAACCCCCTGTTGCCGCGTTTCAACACCCGTTTCAACAGCCTTCTTTTGCTTCCCCTTTGAGGGGAACCAGGGTCTGGCGGCAAAAATGGGAGTCACCGTCCTCACAAGCAAGCTAATGTGGGAGGGGTGGGGTTTGTGTTAAAGGGGCCGGCCAACTGGAACGCCATCGCACGTGCAAGGTTTCAGCACTTCGCATTGGGAATTTGTTTTATGGTGGGTCAAGGGGTGAAACGCATGCCTTTTGAGTGTGGTCCTTCTGAATCCATCGCCTCCTCCCACCAACATAGCCTTTGTGGGAGGGTACCTGGAAGATCAACTTTCTGCAAGGGACCCTCTGTCAGGTGCCATGTTAATGGGAAGGGCAGTCGAGGCTTCCTACTCTTCAGGCTGGGCCATACAATTGTCCGAAATGGCACCCCCGAAATCCAATTGCCACCATAGTAAGCAAGCAGTGCACGTTTACCTCTGTATATTTTCGTGGGTGATGGCGCTTCTTGGTTACCTACTATCGAAAGACAAGCGGGTGGCCGGACATGATTCATAAATGCAGCTGGAATACAAACAAGCACTCCACTCCCCCGAAAAACCCACTGAGAAAAGAGAAAGCTTACACAATAATACAACAATGAGCAGAGAGAAAGAGAAAGCAGAGGAGATGCTGGTGAAGCTTCATGCCTTGTTAGATTTGAGCCCGCTCCCCAAACTCCGCTTCCCCAAAGTCATGTTTTACTACAAGTCTCTTGCTTGAAAACTGTCTCCGCCATCAACCACGCAAAGGGGTAGGTTCGGGCGCCAAATTTGAGCCCAAGACTCCGGAGGCCCTACCGTAGCAAAACGATTTGTCGTGTTGCCTGGAACCCATCAAAATCTCAAAAGGAAGCTCCAGCAATACTACACCATTGAACTGGACCTCCATAGATTTGAATCTGGGTACCTTCTTTGCTAGGGGGAGCGGGGGACCTCCCCTTGGCTAATCCCGGGTCCTGACACTCCGCCCTCTCTACGAACCTGAAGACAGGCCCTTTGAAGTCCGCTCCCCGCCAAGCACCCCCCCAAGGTTTTGTGGCGCCAGGACGCCTCCCCGGCGTTGGGCCAAAAGAAGCGCATGCCTTCAATGTCCTGAGCTCCGAGCTTGTTTAGAAGCCCCGCTTTTCCTGGCTTCCCACACAGTACCTGAAACTGGGCTGTCCTCAGATCGCCTGCTAAAAGTTTAACTTTTAGTGGGTTAAATGGAAATCCACACAAAAAGCTAACAGGCTAAGGGGATGGCTGGGAGCCACCAAAGTAAAATACTTCCTCACGAAAGAACTGGGCTGGACAAAGTTGCGTGCTTTGCAGGATGCACCAGCGGACGGGGTTCGCTGTGGGGGTGTGGCTCCAAATCTTGGCAGTCGTTTTCGGAAACACGGGTGCAGTTTCAGTTGGGAGCTAGCGCTAAAATCTCACCTTCACAGTCTCAATGACCAAGTTTCCCATCAACAAAGCCATGCACTGCAGGGCTTTGTTGTCCTGGCCGGATGTGTCGTCGAACCGATGCGCAAAGCAACAATCACGTGCAGGAAGTCACGAGCCGTCGCGAGCCGTCCCCCAAATCAAAACAAGAGGCTGGGTCCATGGAGATTTGCAAAGTCCAAAAGCTCCAGGCCGAAATGACGGGGTTGAAACGAATCGTCATGGACCAGCCCCAGAGGGTTCCAGGGGGGCAGACAGGGGCTCCTCTTCCAATAACGACAAGTCAATGGCCGCCCCAGTATGGGATTTCTTGAGATCTTTCTGCCGAGAGCTCAGAACGAGGGCATAGATGTCACGGGTTGTGTACGGTTTTAGGCCTTGCTGGACGTGCGCCAACCGCAAGTCTTTATGTGGGACGGGATCGATGTGACTTATTTGAATGCTGACATGTCCGCACGGAACCCTCAAGGCCCGTAACTCACTGAGGTCGACTTTGCAGACACCGCGGGGGTGGAGATTGGAGCGTGGCGTTCAGGCCAAACAGTTGTATCATATACAAAACAACTCAAGAAAGCTGGTGTCCTTCACTATCGGCGCAAATAACCCTTGCCTTACATGTGTAGTTGTCGTCGGAAAATGCCAGGCCCCATTTGCCACCCTCGACTCTGAGGCTGCGTCGACAGCATAGCGAGCGGCCTTGTAGCTGCTGCGGTCGCCCTGCGCGACCGAAGAAGCTATGGGCCGAACTCGAGAAAGGTGTCCTTTTGTCTGGGTGTTTTTTTTGGTTTCAACGGAAGCCACAAGGAAAACCGACATGTTTGGCGTCCCCATCTAGGTCCTCCAGTAGACAGGTTAGAATAAGTGTACTCTTTTGGCACGTGACGCACGAATGTCTGTCGCGCGTAGGTTGTAGGGCATGCCGCCCTACTACCGGTGAAAAAGGGGCATCAGCCCCGCACACAGACCCCCAGGAGCGGCTCAACCGGGGGTGTGAAACCTGCCCAACAGCCACGCAGCACCGTGGGCCCTGTGAGAGAGGACCAGCCCCCCGCACAGGAACCCAGGCTTTCCCCACAAGGCCGCAAGGCCGAAGCAGCCCACCCCCCAAAAAGGGGGAAGTCACAAAACTGCTGTACAAGCGTAGGGCCCGAAGTTGGACAAGTAAGCCAAGATAGTCGGGACCTCCGGGGCCACTGGCACACGCCACAGGGATATGAAAAGCACCATGAGGTAGCAGCCACTCACAGCAGGAGGGATGTATTCACTATGCTGCGGACTTCTGAAAGCTATAAAGACCCAAGGGCACGATGGGCAAGGCAGCCCGCATCACGACTGCCGAAAAAGCCCAAGGTGTCAAAAGGGCACAACCCACACACAGATAGACCCGCCCAGAGAAGCTGATGCAGAGCGTGAAGAGAACGAGGCATCAAAGGGGCCGAAGGCGCACAACGAAGAGGCAGCAATACCTTCACCCCGTAAGAAAGGGGGTGTCTCGAGGCTGGGACTGACCCAAAGGCCAGGATGCCTCCCGGGTGAAGCGGACCGGCAACGAATGCGTCACCAAGCGGATAAGCTCCCCGAAGACGACACATCACAAACACGGCGAATGAAGAGGGTGACCAGGGGGTGCACGAGGAGCAGGTTGAAGACGGAGCTGCCAGCCATGGCTTTTTGGACGCAGGACCGGGCAGTGGAGCCCCAGCCCTGCCCCGGGGGCTCGGCGGACGGCTTAAGGGTACTCTTTTTTCTGTAGTTTATTCTAGTAGGGGAACCCTCCCAACCAAAAAGGGGTGAGAAAGGGCACAACTGGGGTACCTAGGCCTTCCACCCACGTGCTTTGAGGTGCTGGTGCTACATATTTACCGATCAGATCATCAAGCAGGCCCACGGCCTGCTCAGGAAATCTCCCGGAAACGGAGCTCGAACGCGATTTGCCCAAACCAATCCTTCTACGTCCAAAAACAACATGTCAGCCGCGGATATATTGTTTGTGCTCGAAAAGGACATGAGAAGATAAATTGTGCTTTGGGGCCCCATGTCTTCCCCACACGCAGGCAAAAACATATTTTCCCGGGGACCTTCATCATCAGCTTTCGCTTGGTCGGGCAGCGCGCTAGAATCTGCCCAGGTCTTTAATTAAGGGTGCTTCTTTCCGCTTTGCGGTGTTGATCGAAAACCAATCAGAAACCGAACAACCAATTCCCCACAAGAATTGGGAAACTCCTTCATGGCTAATCGCTGGCAACCCATAAAGCTGGGCTGCCCTCAGATTCCCCCGCTAAAAATTCAACTTTTCGTGGGTTAAATGGAAATCCCCACTAAACACTAAAAGGCAAAAAAGCTAAGGGGATGGCTGGGAACCACCAAGAAAACAAACAGATTCGAAGGCCTGGGTCCTCCGTATGTTGTACCTCGCCTGCTTGGGCGCCTTCCTGGTCTCTGGCACCTCTGGTTCGCCATCCTGCCAGTCGTGGCGAGCCATACGATCTTGGGACTGCCGGGCATTTAGGTAGAATTGAACCCGGTGGCTTTCCCCAAAAAAGGAGCCCCTTGGCCGAAAAAAATGCTTCACATGTTGCGTGTGGGTCTGAAGAATAAGTCTCGGACACCCAGAAAGGAATGGACGATAGCTCGCCCCGATTCCTACCGTCAAAGCTAGCCAGTAAACAATGTACGGTGAACTCGCTTGTGGCCAGCAAGAGCCCACACGGGCAACCAGTCACGTCCTCAAACACCAGTTCATCACTGCTTGCATTTTACTGTTCGAATTAAACCAAATTTCCATTCTATGTTTGAAATTGTGGGGTGGTTAACCAAATACTACGTTGAACATCCTTGCCTCCAACCTAATTTCGGAGAATGGGTGGTAACCAAGGGAAGCACTGGAAGTCGACCCTCGCAAACAATGATTGGACCCTTTGGTAAACAGTGACACGGGGATTTGTGCCCACCAACTAGTTTTTGAGACTGTTCCCCATTGATATTCCTGGCAAGATGAACAGCAAAACCTCTTCAACGCCATAGCTCGACTCTGCGCACCGCACCATCTGCGGCATCGGCGTGAGGATGATCTGCAACAGCTGCCGCAGCTGCTGCGACATCATCCTGGAAACTGATCAGGAGCTTCCCTGGTGGTGGCTATTGCTGGTTTGGAGCCTGGGTGGTCTCCCAGTTGAGGCATCAAAATGGTCTACCCAAAACCATGTAAAGGATTTAGAGGGCGGCCGCAGCTACTTCCGGCTGGGACTGCCCCTTCACTAACCTTCATCTACGCGGGTTTTGATTGCAACTCAGTTGTCCTCAAGAACCAGGGGATCAAATCCACAAAACCATGCAAACCACCAATGAATGTTTACCTGGTAGGGTGCCAAAACACATCTGGGGAGCCATGTCGCAAACAAGCAAGCAAACAAACAAACAATCGAACCAACAAACAAGCAAACAAACCATAAACACACAAACACCCACACACACAAACGAACAAACAAACAACCAAACAAAACCAGACAGACAGACAGACAGACAGACAGACAGACAGACAGACAGACAGACAGACAGACAGGCAGGCAGGCAGGCAGGCAGGCAGGCAGACAGACAGACAGACAGACAGACAGACACACAGACAGACAGACAGACAGACAGACAGACAGACAGACAGACAGACAGACAGACAGACAGACAGACAAGCAGACAGACAAACAACCAAACAAAACAAAACAAAACAACACAAACTAAACACAAACTAAACACAAACTAAACAAAGACCAGACAAAGGCAACCCACATGGTGCATTAATGATCAAACATATAACAACATGAAACATATACGTCAATAAAACAGATATGCAGCAACTCAAGCATTCACCAGCTAAACACATCATCAACTGACTGAGAAATGAATGGGTTGAACAATAATTTAAACAATGCTAATGTTAGCACCCGATTGGGAATGGGATAGTCAACAATGCACAGTTTGTTCCTCATTGTGGTTCACCCCATTGTTGATGGGGACCAGAATAACTGAACGTTTTTGTTTGCCTGGGGGGAAGAAAAAACACAAACATATCCAAAACTGTCAGTTGCTTTACTCAAAAGCAGTCCCATTTTAATTGGTGGCCCACTTGCTTAAAAGCATTCCCCTTTCAATTAGTGGCCCACTTGCTTAAAAGCATTTCCCTTTTAATTGGTTGCTCAAACACGAAACCCAAAGCCAGCTGAAACCTCTGCAATTTGAAAACCATCCCCAGCCCAGAAACTGTATTAAACCGTGCTATAAAAATATGAAAACATCAGGACAAGGGTGCCCCTCACAGACCCCACTGAACCACAACAATGGCATTCTTTAGGGGGACCACATTAGTTGCAAGCCCCCAGCCCCCTCCAGAAAATAAACTGTCAGTTGCTTTACTCAATAGCAGTCCCCTTTTAATTGGTGGCCCACTTGCTTAAAAGCATTCCCCTTTCAATTAGTGGCCCACTTGCTTAAAAGCATTTCCCTTTCAATTGGTTGCTCAAACACGAAACCCAAAGCCAGCTGAAACCTCTGCAAATTGAAAACCATCCCCAGCCCAGAAACTGTATTAAACCGTGCTATAAAAATGTGAAAACATCAGGACAAGGGTACCCCTCACAGACCCCACTGAACCACAACAATGGCATTCTTTAGGGGGACCACATTAGTTGCAAGCCCCCAGCCCCCTCCAGAAAATAAACTGTCAGTTGCTTTACTCAATAGCAGTCCCCTTTTACTTGGTGGCCCACTTGCTTAAAAGCATTCCCCTTTCAATTAGTGGCCCACTTGCTTAAAAGCATTTCCCTTTCAATTGGTTGCTCAAACACGAAACCCAAAGCCAGCTGAAACCTCTGCAATTTGAAAACCATCCCCAGCCCAGAAACTGTATTAAACCGTGCTGTAAAAAGGTGAAAAAATCAGGACAAGGGTACCCCTCACAGACCCCACTGAAACACAACAATGGCATTCTTTAGGGGGACCACATTAGTTGCAAGCCCCCAGCCCCCTCCAGAAAATAAACTATCAGTTGCTTTACTCAATAGCAGTCCCCTTTTAATTGGTGGCCCACTTGCTTAAAAGCATTCCCCTTTCAATTGGTCGCCCACTTGCTTAAAAGCATTCCCCTCTCAATTGGTGGCCCACTTGCTTAAAAGCATTCCCCTTTCAATTAGTTTCTTTCTAGCTCAAGCCCTCCCTGGCTGAAAGGCACACCCTTTGAATGGCTACTAAAGTAATAGTATTCCAAAAAGTATGCTCAGGAAGAAGTGGTTGCATACTAAAGTAGTGTTCCAAAAAGTCTGCTCAGGAAGAAGTGGTTGCAGATACTAAAGTAGTTCCAACAAGGAAGTGGCTGCAATACTAAAGTAGAATTGGGCCTCAAAATCCTCCAGTGTGTGGACGTCCCAAGAGTGAGCCTACAGAATTCTAGTGCCTCCATTGTTGAGGGGGGGGGGCTTTATTAATCAAGTTCCAACATTAAATCTATTAAACACAACTAGCGGGAAAACTGATTATATCCAATCAAACTGCCCATTCAATCAAAAAACACGAACCAACAAATGCGAAACACCGCGACACACAACACCGACCCGACCGACCGACCGACCGACCAACTGACCAACTAACAAACCAGCCAACAAACCAACAAACCAACAAACCACCCAACCAACCTGGCAATCAAACACTCAATCAAACCAAATCGCATCGAAACAAAACAATACAATATACATACACAAGCCTAACAATCCATCCACCAACCAACCGACCGACCGACCAACCAACCAACCTATCAACCAACCAATGTATCAATGCGTCAATGCGTCCATGCGTCCATGCGTCCATGCATCAATGCATCAATGCATCAATGCATCAATGCATCAATGCATCAATCAATGAATCAATGAATCAATGAATCAATGAACCAAACTATGGATCGATCGATCGAACAATCAATCAACCAATCCAAGCAATCCAACCAATCCCAATCAATCCAACCAATCCAACCAACCCAACAAACCCAATCAACCCAATCCACACAAACAATCAATCCAATCAATCCAATCAATCCAATCAATCAATCCCATCAAACCAATCAATCCAATCAGTCAAGTCCATTCAATCAGCCCATTCAATCAATCAATCCACCAATCTCTCAATCAATCAACCTCCCAACCAACCAACCAATCAATTTTGGGGCCAAGCTCTCGATTGCTTCATTGGAAACCCAAGTCCGGCCGGCCGGTCGGGACAACACTGACAACACTCCTGCAGGCAGCAAGGCCCTGGAAGCAGTGCCACAGCGACACGCCGGAGACCTCAGTCTGCCCCCCCCCCCAAAAAAAAAAGAAGAAACATCGAAAAAAGAAAAGAAAAAAGAAAGGTCCATTATATAGTATAGCAAAACCAATGAGGGCCCCTGTTTCAGTCTGCCTGACGTGCGTATTTCTACAAAAGTAGAAACTTCTGTACCTATTTAGGTATTGCCTTTCTTTTCGGGGTCCCTCTATGCCGAACATGGTGCTACTGGGTGGGTCAAGTGAAGAGCATACCGTGCTCCTTTGACCGAATCCTGTCGTTGACAAGAAAGGGTCCATACCTCTGAAAGGGGGTTTGTCCAGGAAGGTTGCCTGAGGACAAAGAACCCGGTGCTTTGTTGGGGACGCACTACAGTTTCAAAGGAAGACAACATGAAACCAAGTACATTTCATAAACCCTGGAATTCATGCTTGTCCACAGACTTGCTTGTTTGCTTCCCCAATGTCTCCATGTTGTGCGATGTTGTGCCGACAAAGATACCCATTTCGTTCACCTGCCATATCAAATGGACTCCCCACGCGCACCAAGGATCACATGCCATGGTGCCAAATAGATGGAGGAATGCTTGCAGTTTGTGGATCCGGCTCAAGCCTGTGCATCGAGAACCAGTTCCAGCTTCTGCTGACAAACCGTTGTGTCGTTGAGCTGGTTGATTTCAAGAACCAAAGCCACTACAGCTGCCAGCAAAGGAGCTGACTGATGTCAGAAACACTCCTTCAAAGCTCGGAAGCTCGGACAAGTCCGCGCCAAACTGGCGGGGGGGGGGGGGGGGGCCGCGCCTTGGTTGGACCCTGGTCAAGGGCCAGGCTCCAAAAAGAGTCTCCCAGCGGGCTACTGGCACAAGGGTAGCATGTTGGCCCCTAGTCAAGCCAACCCAAACCGCACTTTTTGTTTTAGATTCGAGGCCCCAATCAAAACGGTCGGCATGGCTTCACCGACCAAAACATCGACTGCCATTCTTGCTGCCTTGCTGACCCGTCCGTTCATCATTAGCCAAGTTTTCAATGACGATCCGTGCTAGGGGTACAACCCAGAAAGTCAAGGGTGCCATCCATGCATCTTTCAATCACCTTTAAGATTCACACCCACCTGGATGTGTATCTCAAAATAAAGAAGCATTGGCTCACATTGAGTTGTTCTCAAAACCTATTGGGTCATATTGGTCTTCATTCAAACACAAACAAGTCTGATGCTTCTGGGCCGTCCTCAGATCCCCCGCGAAAAGGTTTTAACCTTTAGTGGGTTAGAATCGTTAGATGGAACTCCCCACCAAGCACTACACAAGTCTAACAGGCCGAGGGACCGGATGCTTGGGAGCCACCAAGGTTTCGTTTTTGCTTCACCCCCCTTCTCCGGCCCTTCCGGGCCCCCTGCCTTGAGTATGGCCGCAGCGACCGGCAAGACCAGCTCCCAGCGCGCCGCCCTGCGATGGGGCTGGCTTCAAAGGGACGCCAGCAGACCTTTGATTTTTGGGTCACATTGTCAGACGTACCCAAATGCCTCATAGATCGCAAATATCATGGCACGGTTGGGTGAAAGTAGAAGGCGCAATTCCAACCCAATTTTGGTTAGACATCACCCTCTGGCACAAGGATCTTGCCTTGGTCTTTGAGGCTACCTTGTTGCAAAAGGGAAGCCAAAAGAGAAACCACTCGTGTTTTAGGGTGCCCCCTAACGCACACACACACACACAGAGCCGTTTTGGGGTGCCGGCATGAACAATCACCGCCGAGCGGCGCCCTGGCTGCGGCCAGCATGCGGCGCCGGCTGAGCGCCGCCAGCTCTTTGTGGCGCAGACTCTGCAGCCGCTGAAAAGCGAAGCGCTCCCAGGAGAAGAGTTTCACCTCGGAAGCACCGTCCACCGTACCCTGGGCTGACGTTGGAAGGGGAGCCAACAAAAATCAGATTTGAGCAGTTAAGCGGGGATTTCCACCACTAAACCACCATGAGCAATAGTGTAAAGTGTTTCCCAACAATAACCATGCCTGTCCAGGGTACCCCCGCTGGAGTCCTGCCTCGAATTCAGGGTATGAGGGTAGGGATCCGGGGAGAAATCACCGAAACCAAGTAATTGCAAAGACAAGTCGATGGATGCATCAGGTGAAGGAAGCCAACGTGAACACAACGACAGTTGGAATTGCTGGAACAGTTGGATCAAGCGAACCATATACAGTGGCCAATAGTGGCCATATGCGCAGGTATCCATGTGCAACTCTCTCTTTCCTTTTTTTGTTTCTCTCTCTCTCTCTCTCTCGCTCTCTCTGTATATCTGTATGTATGCATATGTATATGCATGTGTGAGTGCATACGTGCACGCAAATATACACTTTGCGTATGTATCCAACACAACACGACCTATGTGATGTTGTGTAAGGCGACAATACACTGTACTGCAACGCGAAGTAATGCAGCGTAGTGTTGCATAAAGTGATGTGATGTGTCTCTGTGTGTCCAAAAGTGTGTGTGTGTGTGCGCTTGAAAAGGCCAGCCCTTCAAGCATGCTATCATGTTGTTTTCTGGAAAAACGATCAGCAGTACTCCCAGAGACACAACAATGTTGCTTAGGAACAGTCCTCATTTGAGAAAAACTGAACTAATCTTCGTCACGAACCACTGCAATTTGAAAGGAATCCTGTCCAACTGCCCATTGTCAACTGGAGCATTGGCGTTTGCAATCGATTCAAGTTTGATTTGCACGTGTGCCGGCTCGCTCATTGCATGTCGTGTCTTCAAGCCTTCCCCAAAGACAGCCAACTGCCAACACTCCTCCACTGGTCCCACTGACACCTCTCTCCATAATGTGCACAAACACACGAGGCTGTATAACCAAGGGATGGAGGCCCTCCATGCTGTACCTGCAAAGGGGATGTTGTCCCAAGGGCGGGGGGTGTCGTGCTGTCGTGCGTTTTGCTATGTAGTGTAGCATAGCACAATGTAATGTGATGTAATGTATCGTAATAGCGATCAATTCCATGCACTGTTGCATAGACTACCGCGCACGCGCGCACGCATTCTTTCTTTATTTTTCTCACTCTCACTCTCTCTCGGACGTCTATTTTAGTAGGGGAACCCTCCCAACCAAAAAAGGGGTTAAAAAGGGCACTACTGGGGGACCTAGTACCATAGTGCCACTCAGATGAAGCAGAAGAGGTCCAGTCGGGCAAGCGGCCGTGCTCGAGGCACAGCCCATGTCGACGGCCAACAGCGTCACTGACATCGCCTCCAGAAAAAAAGAAAAAAAACACCGAGCGCAGTGGGATGGCGAAGGGAGGAAACCGAAGGTCATTTTGGGGGCCTGTTGGGTCGAATGGAATGGGGGTTTTGGTACGCGGATTCGATGGTCCTTTTTGATCGAATCCTATTGGTCCGCGGATTGCTTCGCAACCAAAGACTCGCTTCAGAGCTTTGAATCGAATCGCGGGGGCTTTTCATCGAAGGGAACTTTGCCATGGTCGTGGGAAATAACCCGTGCGATGCAAAAATTGGCCATCCTGAGGGAATTACCCTCCCATGCCCTTGCCTTGAACCCCTCTGCCTTCAAACAAAATGAGAGGGATGGGCACCATTACCTGATCCCAGGGATGGTAACAACCCCCCCTTCTCACCCCACCCCCTCACCCCACCCCCCACCCCACCCACCCCCCATCCACCCCACCCCAACCACCCCACCCCAACCACCCCACCCCAACCACCCCACCCCCGACCCAAACGACCCAAACGACCCAACGACCCAACCGGAGGCCGACCGCTGGACGCGGCGCCAAACGCCTCACGGTGCTGGCGCAGAAGCTGGGCCTCCCGGGCCCAGCGGCCATCCAGGCGCCGAGCAAACACCTGCCAATCCAACACAAACAACCGAGTACCATGGCCTCGGATGGCGTACATACACATGTATATATATATATATATGTACACATAATATGGAGTTGATCCACCAAAAATGGAGTCCAAACCCTAACGATCTACATACATACTGCGGATGGACAAAATCCATTTCGCACCACCTAAGACACCCTGGGATAATGATTGCCCTTTAAATACCAACGAACAATGGTTTCCCGTGGTTTCGAAGTGGTGCAGGAATTCGTCCATCCACAGTATGTATGTATATGACGCGCATGTATATATATATATATACACATGCTCTTGATATCTATTATGTATATATACATACATGCACACATCAGAACATACCTATTATCTCTGTCTAATACAATACATAGAATACGTGGTAGAGCATAGCACCCTGCCCCGAATTCCCCCCCCCCCCCGCGCCACACCCCACCTGCCATGGTCATGGCGGCTGCAGCAGCGGGGCTCGGGGCCCCCCCCGCCCATGAACTACCTTTCCTGCTTTCTTCATAAAATGACAGCATCAGCATATATATATATATATATATCTATATATAGAGAGATGCATCTTATAATAAATACTTACATTTCACGCATATTATGGTCATGGAAAAGGAAGGCTTCGCTTCGGCGCTTCAGCTTCAACAGTTCCAGAGTTTCTTTGAGACAGATTTGTCTCAGATGGGCTCGCTGAGGCGGATCTTTCAAATGAGGTCCCCCAAATCCTATTTGGCTGCGGGTCAAACAAATGTACCAAAATGGCAGCTTGGTACACGGAAACAAAGACTAAAACCTGCGTAACCCCTGCTTAATTAAATTTTGAGCCACACCCATTTTGACCCACACACACACACACGCACGCAACCCTTTAAAGGTGAACCATCCACCCTACCATAAGGGGGAGGGGGGTGGGGTCCCCAATTCCAATTCTCTAGTCTTCCTCTTCCAAAGGAAATGGAACCATAAATGGAATTCCAGGGGTCACCCCCCTCGCCCAATTCCATGTTTAAGGGTGTGGTGATGGTGACTTGGCCTCCGGTCTGGTTGGTGTGGGGAATTCACTAAAGGAACCGCCTGGATCCCGGTGAGAACCATCGCGCTATCGCCTAGGGCGTATCCTTGGCTGGGCGTAGTTAAGGGGGTGGTGAACCCTTGAACCAGCCCGGCCTCCAGCGCCCCACTGAGCGCCCCCAGCGCCAGCGCCGCCGGCGCCAGCGGCCCCAGGGCCAACGCGAGCAACGCGGCACCCAAGGCGAGGCCCAGCAGCGGCGCAACTAGCCGCGGCCTGGGGTACCGCATGTTGGACCTGATGAAATCTTGAATGTTGAACTTATTTGTTTTATAATTATTGATTTGCATTGAATTATTTTGAATGTTGAAGTTTGAATTGTGAAAGAACGAACGAACGAATGAACGAACAAACAAACGAAATGAATGAAATGAAATAAATAAATGAATGAATGAATGGATGGAATGGAATGGAATGGAATGGAATGGAATGGAATGGAATGGAATGGAATGGAATGGAATGGAATGGAATGGAATGGAAGAAAGAAAGAATAAATGAATGAATGAATGAAATGACATGAAATGAAATTGAATTGAATTGAAATGACATGACATGAAGTGAAATGACACGAATGAATGAATTAATGAATGAATGAAGGAACAAACAAACGAACGAACGAATGAATGAAATGCTGCGTCGCACCGAAACAAAGTGGACTTGGAAGGGTCGTCGATCAAGAGGACTTTCTTCAGTGTCAGGACCGCAGGGCATTGACAGACTTTGCCTTGCACCCAAAAGGTTTGTCCCGCCATCCTTTCCTCGAAAGCTTGGCAAAGGAGGCGATGCCACTGCTCGCCCGATCAATTCATGTATCGTCATTGAGTGGCAAGTGATTCTGTCAAGTTCTTACTGGCCATCCAATTCACAAAAGCGCTTGCTAGCACGTGCTTTTTAATCGCAAACAGTCCGGCTTGAAGACTGCTTCTTCGGACCTGCGCACCAGGTAGTTCACCCCAAAGTTGGGGTTATGCCAACTGGTGCCTATGGATCTTGTCCATCCACAGTAGCAGCTGCCGTTGTGGAAAGATAGGACTTCTTGCCAGCTACTTTCAACCAGCGGATGCCAACAAAAACGAAGAAAAGGATTGATATGGCCGTGGGTCAACACCAATGGTACCATTTTGGGGTAGGTGCACCACCCATTTTAGTCTATTTTAGTGGGGATTGGGATGTTCACTGGGGGTACGGGGCCTTGACCCATAGCCATATGGAGCGAGTAGGATTCTTTGAACCCGGCGGGGACCCCCTTTGGCTCTGCCGCCTCGCGCGCTTCACCAGCGCTTCCAGCGCTTCCGGGGCGATCTTCGTCGTCTTTGTGCCAGTCGCCGCAGCAGCCGCGGCGTGGAAGAGCCAGCAGCGCAAGGCCCACGCGACCTGATCGACTCACCACATGCTCCAGGTCCAGTCGAGAGGTTACAAGAAGTTAGTACCTTTTTTGAATGAGCAAAGCAGCATTTTCAACCCTCTGGCACTCAGTCCGCAGCACCGTTTCATGTCCTGGGTTCCCCACTAAGAATGATCAATTGAAACAGAGATGGTTCCTATTGTATTCATACCAAACCGGCCGCTGGTTGTACTGGGTCTTTAGCTAGTCTGTGGACAACATCCAGCACCAGTTAAAAACCTTGTGAATACGATAAACCCACCCAAGTGCGAAATTGTCCATAAGTAGTGAGCAGAATGGAGCATTAGGTCCCCCAGTAGCACCCGTTTCCCCTTTTTTGGGGGAGGGTTCCGCTATTAAAACATCGAGCAACGGCAGATTCATAAACAGGTGGAAAAGTTTTACTTGCCAATTGCCACCCTTGAGTAGATCAAAGGGCCGTCAGCAACAATTATGGCTAGTTCCTGGGAAATCAAGGACACCTAAATGCTCTAGCGGGTGGACGGGTTGTTTCAGTCAAGCCAACAGCACCCGAGACACAACGCAGCAAACGGTCTTTTCGGTTCACAGCGGGCAATCACACTTGTTCTGAAATGAACAAGTCGGGATCCCACTGAAACCCATAAATTTGTAAAATTTTCAAGATGGGACCCCTGGGTTTTAGTCTTCGGGCCATCAGCAAATGGGAACCCTGTTCCCCATAAACCTCCGGCCTGCTGCGCGAGCTTCACGCGCCTGGCAAAAAACTTGTTCGACGAGCCCCGGCAAACGGGGGCTGTGCTATGTTTTAAGGGAGCGGGTCACATGGTGGGCTGCTTCTATGAAGGAAAACCACCCATGCCTTTCGTTTGGGGGGTGTCCATGATTGCAAGACGAATCATGTTGGCTAATGTTGGAACGAGTTGGATCCAACTTGACAACTCCGCCCTCATCTGCTTTTGCCCTGTTCACTGTTCGCTGTTTGCAAAGATCCGAATTCCCACATCTCAACAAACCCCAAAGAACAAAAACACAGGAGGGGCCCATCTGCCCTCCGAAAACACGAGAAACCCCCGGGCGGAACCACGAACCGCCCCGGTGTCCTGTGCTGCGCGGATTGGTCAGCAAAGCGGGCCGCCGCCACGAGCAGCGCCAGGAGGACCTCGATTGTTCGGCCAACTCCGAAGAAGTTCGCAACATAGGGGTTATATACATAATTTCCCAAGGGAAACCATAATAAGGGAAATTAAGTTGAAGTACTATATACCATATTTTTTCCTAGGGGCAATATAAGAGGCAATCATACTAACATATAAGAGGTTTCTAAGGGTCCATTCTAACATATAAGAGGAACGCGGGGGGTTTGTGGTTGGTAGGTCGCCCTTCTTTCTAAGGGTCCATTCAGGCCCCATTATTTCACCAAAGTTATTCCTTGAGTGGTCGGTTGAAGGGAAACCACCGATTCCAGTTTCTGACTTTGACAACCCCCGAAACAGTCAAGGTGCCGCCAGTTATCTCAGGGTTGATTCCTTGTCCATTCTTTCCAATCATTGTTCTGTTCGAAAACCGGATTCGTTTCCCTGGGTTTCCAGAGGTTTTCTAGAAAGAAGGATCCCTCAAAAAAATAAATAAAAATATTGCACCAACCTGAAATAAGGTGGTTGGGGTGCTACTCCGCAGATAAACCACCATTTGGGGTAAAATTGGGTGAGATCATTATAATTCACCCAGACAATTTCCCAGGGGCAATTTATAAGAGGCACAATGAGAGGCAATCTACATAACATTAACTCCCCAGTGTGACTTTGATTGGCTTGAAAGTTCCCACAATCCACTTCCAGCTTTGTGAAGGGCCCTACAGCAACGATTTCGTTGAACCCATTGGTTGGAACTATGGGTCCAACATGACAATGGGTCCAAAATGAATGAGTTCTTCCTTCAACGACTCATGTTTAAATTCCTTGCTTTGGTTTTCTCTTAAAGAGGACAAGGGTCTTGCCCAACCCAACCCTGCCCAACATAGGAAATGGGTGCGGCTTAAAAATCGGTGGCCCAATCTCTGGTTTCCCTTTGGCTTCAATGAGAGGGAAACCAAAAGGACACCTCCAGTTCAAATTTGATCCCCTTCGAACAAGGCAGCTCCAAAGCCAGGGCCGGCGCTTCCAACTGGAAAATTCCAGCGCGCTACACCACTACTTCTACCCATGATCATATGGCCATGGGTCAAAATCCCGTACCCCCGGTGAACATCCCAATCCCCACTAAAATAGACTAAAATGGGTGGTGACCGGTGTACCGAAAACCCCAAAGGGTAACATTGGTTTTAACCCACAGCCATATGAGAATGCACCTACTGCCGCGCTGACTGTGCGCTATTCCTCTCAACTTGGGCTCCATCACTAGGCCTGGCTCTTCTGTCAGTGGTAGTTCTTCCAACGACACATTGCAGGGAAACTCTAGCCAATAGCACGACACTGGGCCCCATCTCCAAGGTTCCACTTGGCGAACACGACAAAATATGTTCCATATGTCCCCTACGTTTTTGCATGCCCGAAAGGGCACTCCGTGTCCAACGAGATTGCTCTGACTCGTCTTTGGTGTTCTGGAGACCCTTGGGACGGATCCCATCCTTCTGAACACTGTGGTGGATGGCGTGGCCGCTTGCCCCACAAGCGATCTGGATCCCCTTGAATGGGGCCCAATCAGCATTCAGGGCCTCTGCGAACTGACAGACTCGTTTCCCATCACCCTAAGGATGGTTTAAAGGGAGATTTATAGGCGAGCTATCCATTTGAGAGGTCAGAACCTCCAAGCATGCTGTTGCCGTTTCTGAAGGAAGGATTCCTGAAAGGAAACCGCCAATTGAATTGCGCGGTTCTTTACATTTCTGGAATCGAACCACCAAAGCCCCCTTTCCTACGGTATTCCACCCAATGTCCAAGAGGAACGCACCTGCCGACCCCGGCCACTGGAAAAAAAACCTATCGGCACCCTCCAAAGGAAAGCTGACTCTGCAGCGTGTCTGGGTGGCTGAGTAGTGCTTCGGGCTCTGTGACTGACGCTTTGCGGCGCTGATATGTTCTTCTTCTTAACACTTCCAAGAATACTTCTTCACCAACCGACAATAAGCGGTATGAAAGAAACCTTCGATGTCGCAACCTCTGCTCCCCCCTTTGCAAAGCGTCTCTTAGGAGATTTGCCTAGACTTGGTATGGACTTCCGGCCATTGGGTTTCATGCATGTCCTAAGAAGTTCAGCATCCATATCTGCCACTTTCGGTTCCACAACTTCTCTATCTAAGGGCCGAACATCAGATAGTATGATTCTTCATTTTTGTTTATTGCTATTTGAAAATTCAGCCCACAACCTTCCCTATATTCCTTTTTGAGTACTGGCCTCATCCAGAACGTTTGACCAGCATGTGATGAGATGTATATATATATATACACATTAATACATATATATATATATATATGTTAATAAAGACAAACAAATTCAAGCAAGAACCCCCACATGGAGAACCCGCAATTCAAAGTTCCCAGGGCCCCTCGGCCCCTGGCGCAGCGCAGCGCCGCGTGGTCCGCGCTCCCCAGCCACGCCGGAGCTCCCCAGGCCTCCTGCAGGACCTAAGCGACGGCCCCCCGAAAACGACGCCGTTCGACCCCACAAAGGGCGTTCTTTCCTTTTGTGGCATGCCTCTAGAATGTGCGTGTGTCGGTGTTCTGTGTTTCTTTGTTTGCTAGGTTGCTTGCTAGGTTGCTTGCTAGGTTGCTTGTTTGTTTGTTTGTTTGTACGAGTACCCTTTGTTGGGTTGGTCTTCAGGGAAACAAGGGGAAGCCACAATTTGAACACAAATGGGCTTGTCTCAAAAAGGGCAACAATTTCGACAAATCCATTCAAAGCGGTGTTTGTGTTTCTTCGGTTCGAGCAACCCCAAGAGGCCACTGTCGGGGCTAGCTTTCAGGAAGCAGGTTGAAATGGCTGGCTGCCCACAAATAATTTGCAGAAGGATTCAGTGTGAATGGGTCTGTCTTTCTTTATTCTTGTTTTTGTTTTGCTTTTTTTTTTTTGGGGGGGGGGTGCCCTTTTTTGTGTGGTGAGGTTTGGGGGATCCCTGAAAAAAGCAAAGCCACCAGCATGGGTCAAAGGGAGACCCAAACATTGAGATGCGCGTGAGGTTCGTCTCCCGGAGTTGGTTGTGTTTACTCGCATTTGGCCCGTTTGAGAAAAAACAGTAAAGGTATGTCACATGGGGCGTCTAGAAAGTGGGTGTGCTTGAAAAATGAAGCGCCGCTGTTGGACGGTGGTTAGACAAACCTGGGAAACTCAACCGTTTTGAGGGGTCGCCTTCAAAACACACCTCAAGATGGAGGTGGGTTTTGGTGCGGGCACTATCCACATAGCGGACGGAAGCCGGCGAAAATCATGGCTTCTGTTTGGATGCAGAGCATGGCTCGAAAGGCAGCCAGGGGGGGCCATCGAATCAAAGACCCTGCCAGGGTTGGTGGGTCAACTGGCGTTCAGGGTTTGAGGTCTTGGGGTGTGTTAGAGGGAACCCAGGATGAACCAATTTGAAAGGACCCTCGGGTTGCCGCTCTTTGGGTGCAGGTCGCAACGCTGTCGTGAGGGGGCTGAACGCACTTCAACTGGAGCTTTAAGTGGTCAGGGACAACCTCAGGGGGGCGTGAGTGGAGCTTGTTAGAGTGGTCTTAATTTATTTCGGCATTCAATTCTCATGGCACAGGCAAGACCATCTTCGTGGACATGGGTTCCTATGAAGGGCAGCTGTCAATGTGAGGGACCCCCAAAAAGTGCCCCCCCCCCCCCCCCCAAAGGAAAGGTTCAGAGAATCCTGGAGAGTCTTATCGAGGGGTTCTGAGAAGCTTTCTGGGAGGGGCTCAAACTTTAACAATCAGTGACCCTTCATGGCCTCTCGGCCCACACATTCAACTTGTCGTCACCTCTTCATACTTGTACATGTGACTGCCGACACAAGCCGCTGGGTCGCCATGCAATGAAGAGACGTGGATTGATGGATGTGTGCTGCTTGTAGATGCCAGACTCCATACAAAGTCTTGAAGCCAAACCACGAAAAAGATGGAAGTGAGAAAATCCTGGCAACATGGATGTGGGGAAGCTGGAAATGGTGAAACGCAGTGCAAGGAAAACAACGGGCGGGGCCCTTGTCACAGCAAAGCGATGGCGTCAGCGATGGCGTCAGCGATGGAAAAGGGCGAACAGATTCAAAAAGAAAGGGTCCCATGTGTTGTTGTAACTTTCAAGTTGCTACCCTACATGGATTCTAACAAATGGGCTCTCATGGGAGCTTCACATAGATATGGATGCCATGCAAACGAAGGAGGTACAAAACCCGCTCAACCAGTCCCCTGACTCTCTTCATTCAGCCGCCCTGCCAGATTCTGTTCAGGATCCAATTTCATGCCAGCTAATCCGTTTTTCGAAAAATACAGGTCCCCCGAACAACAGAAACCATTTGTTCAAAATTTCGGGGGCCCAATACTAAACTAGAGTCCAAGTTGACGGTACTAAACTTCCGGTTTCTTCCACCAACCTCCTTTCCCCTCCCCTCAGAAAGGGTTCGAACCCACCTTCCCGGACCTCCAGTAGCCATGCGAAAAGTGTGCCTTTTTCTCGCGGCCCCGATAGTGGTGGTTCCAAAAGAATACCAAAAGGAAACCGCAATTGCTTCCTCCAGTAAAGAGGTTAGAATAAGGATATCTTTTTTCTTCTGTAGTCTATTTTAGTAGGGGAACCCTCCCAACCAAAAAAATGGGTGAGAAAGGGCACCTGGCTGGGGGACCTAGTGGGGGTCGAGTCGAGGGGTACGGACCCCGTTGGTCTGGGCGCCAAACTAGGCCCAAGAGCAGCACCGCCAGAGCTTGCAAAAGCACCGCCGCCAGCTCCCAGCCCACCACCGGAGAGAGCCTCGACAACTCGCACAGCTCGACTCGGGTTGTGGACGTCTCTTGATGGATGGCAGTGGGTCCAAATTAGGCACCCAAAATGGGTTGCCCTGGCAAATAGAACCAAGGACTAAAACCTGCGGTCCCCTGGTGGTTTAATTTTGACCCATACCCATGGGTCTGTCAAAGTGACCTTGGTTTAAAGGTCGGAAAGTGCACCTTCTGGGGAAACAAAGTAAAACCAAACAAGGAAACCACCCATTCAAAGGGTGAACAGGGTCTGTCAAAGTGATCTTGGTTCAAAAGTATGGCGGGTTTTGAGTTTAACCAACTCAAGTGGGTCTGCCTATTGTTTTGAGGGTACCATTTTAACCAATTGGTTTAAAGGGAAGCCAAAAGGAAAGTCACCACTTTTGGGGTACCCCTATTTTGAGACACACCCTCGGTTCACACGTGAGATGTCTGGTTCTCAGGGAATCCATGAATTACTGCGAGGAAGAAAGGGGTTCGAAATGAAGGGTTGGAACAGTGACTCAGGAAATCACCTTGGGGATCCCCCATCTTGAAGGAAACCTCCAGGATGATTCAATTTTGTGCAATTCCCCAAATGCTGAAAACTGGCAAGTGTTGGAGTCCTGCAGACCCTAGAAAAGAGACGTCCAAGTGGGGCAGTTTCAAAACTTAGGAAGCACCAAAATGGGCGACCTTGGAGGTCGAGGTAGAGCTGTGGCGAAATTTCCTTCTAAGTCGAAATTGATGAACGTTGGGATAGATGTAATTCAGTGTGGGGAAACTGTCATCTGGGAAGCACCCAGCCTGTGCAAGGTCTTTGGCCATGGACGTTTTCCGTGATCTCCGACAATTGTCATTTCAAGAACCGAACAACTGGTTTTCTGTGCCCTGTGGCCGCCCGCTTTTGCGCTCGTGTTTAAAAGGAAGTCGACCTGAGACTAAGAATGCGAGTTTCTCACTGAAGATTCATCCCGAATCCCACTTGGCAGCTCATCGATTAATTGCCGTATCGGCGTCCTTTCTACAGGTACCCAATTTACAGCAAAGCCTCCAAACCCACTCTTCACGCCACCATACGTCCCTCCCCGCGCTTCAAAGAAACCAGCTTGGGTTTAGAATTTGGATGTCGCTTTCCCTCATAGGAGCAGCTGTTCCAGGCCATGTCCTAACATGACACCAGCAGAAACTCATCCCCATAAAGCCCTCGTAATGAGTTCTGGGGTTCTCTCCGACTTCTTGAAACTCGGAGGTGGCAGTTAACCAGCAAAGTGCCAAGATATCTTCGAGCATCAAGTTAAGCAGGCTCTCAATCTGGGCATGTGGGAGTGATTCATTCCTGGAGTCTCCCCTTTCTTTACAGGGACAAAACTAAAGCCCCCCACCCCTGGGAACGTTTCTCGTTACCTTCTTAATTAAAGGGGGTGTTTTGAAGAAGTCCCAGAACTTTGTTTCGGCAGTAGGCGAGTCCTAGTGTCTCTCCAAACTTGAAGGTTCATCCCACCGTTGCAATTACAAGGTGACTACATGCATTGGAGTCTCAGAAACTGGGACACGAAAAGGTGAGAATGTCGAGGGTGTGTAGTTGTGAGGGTAGTTAACCTTTTCAGATTAGTATAGAAAAAAAACAAAACCAAACAAGGAAACCACCCCTTCAACGGGTGAACAGCGTTAACTGCAACACAATTCCTGGTCCCCACCATTTTCGAGCCCGGAATTCTCAACCTTGCAGAGGAAAAATACGGGGTGTTTTGTAGCGAGAGTGAAGCTGGGACACCCCCTGGAACCCGTGAACCCCTTACAATATGGTTTCAGCCTACCTATGCATGAGCAGGGGGGCCTTCGATTTTGCGCTTGCACTTGGTCTTGGGCCTGAAGTGAACAACTTTACTCGCTGGTGGGGAAATAGTCACGTTCAAAAACTGGACCCAAAAGTTTGACATTTGGTGGGTTTAATGGACACCCCCACTAAGCTTGCAACACCTGAAATCCTAAGGGGACAGCTGGGAAGGGGCAAGAAAAGGTTGAACTTTCTTCCCGGTACCAACGAGCAACTTCAGGAATCAGGCCCCCGCCCCCTACCCACCATGGTTTTCACCAAGGCTTCTGAGAAGGTTCCTAGGTCCTCCGGTAGAGAGGTTAGAATAAGGATACCCTTTTTGCTGTGGTCTATTTCAGTAGTGGATCCCTCCCCACAAACAAAAAGGGTAAAAGGGCACTACTGGGGACCTAGGTTCTATCGAGTTTTCCCCAGGTTGGCGGGCCCTTAGTCTGTTTCTCCTCGGGGATTTCGACCCAAAAAGTGAGCCGCTCCGGGCCTGCTGCGGCACAGACGCTGGGCTGTGGCGAGCAGCCGCTGGCTTCCGCTGGTCTCCTGATGGACTTGATTTGTTGCCAGCGTCAAGGGACTGCTTCAAGCAACCCCTGCCAGGAGGGGGACGGGGAGTGGGGGTTAAGGGTCCCCAACTAGTCTTCCCCTTACAAAGGAAATGGAACAACAAATGGATTTGTTGCCAGCGTCAAGGAAGTGACTGCCGGAGATCTTGAGCGGCCGGGCGCAGGTGCTGAAGTCCAGGAACCAACTCCCTGGTGTTCAAAAAGACCGCTTGCTTCTGGTGTCCAAAAGCCAGCTCCTTTCTGATTCTCTTGTCAATTCACTGCAAACTGGGAAAAACAAGCACTTATCCTGTTTGTCCTGCAAGTCCAACGTATTGGCCGTGTCTGAAAACGAGTGCTTCCCAGGACGGGACAATTTATGAAACCGATAGGTTTCAACACATGCAGGCTTCCACCGGGGGACAACAGGGGGTTGGCATCCAAGAAATGAGCGGCTTCCCTTTAACGTCGTTGTTCAGCCAGAAAAGCGGGTACCATCAAAGGCACCCACATGAACTCATGGTGTTGCGTAGCAGACGTACCGTCAGCCTTTTGAGCTCCTCTAGGAAAAGCTTAAGGTTCCGGGAACCTGGCTTGTAGCTAATAAGGCCTTACTTCAGTCTCCTCCAAACGCCCATTTCATTCTCCACACGCGTGACCCAGCGGTAGACGTTTGTCCTATTAAATATCAGCAGTGAGAACGGGCTTCGGATTCTTTGCAAGCAATTTGCGCGCAAACTCAGCGGTTGAATCAATTTGCAGCTGGTAGTCTGCCTTGCGCTTCGCAGACATCTTGTCGATGTCATCGAATACCTCCTGCATCTCCCCTGACGAGTGTGGGAATGCCAAGCAATCCAGCAAGGCCAGCATGCGCCACATGCCCTCCGGGTCAACTTTCTCAGGTATTAAACGTTTCCTGCCGATTCGCATCATTGTGAGCTCAATAAGGAGGGGCGGCACATGCGGCTGATTAGCAGGCATACCCTTTTTGAGCAAATGCTTCACATGCCGTACTGCACGCCGACTACCCTCGTTGCGCTCATCCCGGTAATATGCCATCAGTTTTCGGTCTGCCGCCATGCGATCCTTGGTGCCC